CCCCCCCCCCCCGGGATGTACTTGAATTCACATGGAATTCCAATTCCATACAATTACAGTGACTTTTATTTTCCTATGTTTTTTACATATTGTTTAAAATATGGACGGCACCACTAAAGGACAGGCATACACAGAATCAGGAAGTTGAGTAGCTACTTAGTGTGTCTAGTTTTGTTGTATGAAATTCATAACAGTTGAATGTAAAGTGTAAAACTCTCCTGTCAATGCTTCACAAGTCACAACATGAGTAAGAGACCAAGTATGGGATTTGTCACTCTCTGGAAATCTTTGCTCATCAAATAGAAACATGACACCACATGTATTCCGGCGTAGTTCACTACTTTGCTTCCTTTTGTCTTGTCGTGTGTCTGCTGCAGTTTGACCTAAACGACTACAGTTTTGGCTTGATCAAATAAGCTGCCCCCCCTCCCCCAAGCGTATGTACACAAAATCCCACATTTAGAGCAGTGGCTTTCCTTTTTTCCCCTCTTCTCAGTACTCCAGCTTCTCAGAAAGCAGTACTCAGGGCAGCTGTATGTGTTGTGTGGCGGGCTTGTGGCAGTGCTAAAGATAATTATTACTAAATGCCTCTCAAAGACCTCAAAGAAACAACCTGATTTGGCGTCTCTGAGCAATTTTCAGTTCTGTTTCCTTTATTTCATTTTACATGCTTTTCCTGGTGGTTCATATAAGAAAGGATTACATAATCCTTCCTGTCTCCACCCAGTGTTGTTTAAAAATTTGGCACATCATCACTGGTCATTGTGGTTAGACCGGAATATAAATGAGACAGGTTAACCTAACACACAGAGGACTCTTTAATATAACACATTAAGGTAACTTGAAAATGTTGGAACAGAGTTTTTGTACCCTCCTTTGCTGCAGGGGATGCCTGCTGCTTGCTTTTAATCTTTTCTTGGTTGATAGAGGCTGAAATGAGTAAAGGAAAGAGAAGCGTGCGGTCATATTAAACGATGGTTCTGCCCATCTCGTCTCATATTACACTATGCATTTTCACAGAGAGTTTTTTTCCCTTTTCCCCTGACAGGGAAGGAAATTTTAAATGGCGTGTCAAGCTATGTTGCTGAGTGGGGTGGTGGGGAAGAAAAGTGTGTCCTTATCTAGCTACATTCTGATGATTATTATTTTTTTTAATAC